CACACACACACACACACACACACACACACACACACACACACACACACGCACGCGCAGGCGCACGCGCACGCACATGCACACGCACACGCACGCGCACGCGCACGCGCACACACACACACACACACAGTTGCGGATACCAGCCCGTTGCACCAAGTACCAAGTAGAGTCTTCTTAACCGAGGCGAGAGACCTACCATCCTATATTACAAGCTTACGCTTACTTTAGGTTCCCGGCTCTTACAAACATAATGTAGAACAAAAAAATTATTATATGTCTCTAATTTTGTACATGTATAACAGTTATGTTTGTGGAGAAACGTATATTGTTATTATTACTTCACTTGCAATAGAAACTTCATCTCAACTGATATTAGAATTGAGGTCGAATCAACATCAACAAGCACAGATAAGAAATTTTTCTAACAAAACAGATATTCGCGCTGGTCGTAATTTGCGGTTTTTTAACACATCATAGAGGGTTTATGATATATGTATGTAGATTAATATATTAGTATCATGATAGTAAAACATCGTGACGTCCAAAAAATAACTATTAAAATCATTGTTTCCAGAAAACCATGAGGTACCGTCGTTATAAACTCATCATTGCCCAGGCTCTGTTGTATTTATACATGTTGGCTTTTGGCATATTTGCAATACTTTGGATAGGTGTCATGATTTATGTTGCACGTTATATAAGAGATTTGAAACCGGAGAGGTATATCCCTCAGAGTGACGTCATTGCAAGGTATGCGATTTATTTCTAATCGATCTGTACTTTCTAGTAGTGATGCAATGGAAGTGTAATGGCAACGAATCGCAAACAGTGTAAATCTTAGCGGAAACGTAAGCGGAAGAGGATGCGGAAGCGGATGCGGATGCGGAAGCTGACGCGGAAGCGGATGCGGAAGCGGATGCAGAAGCTGAAGTGTAAACACTATAAAACCTATAAAATAACCAATACTACAAAATTGCTCCAATAGGACTTGTTTTTGGTTACATAAATACTCTCAACAAAACAAAACTGCTTAAAAAGGGTAAGGGGAGGGCTCCGTCGCTAACGTTGTAAACTTCCGATTAAAGTTCCGTTATAAAAGTTGCGGAAGCAGAAACGAAAATAGATGTGAAAAAGCGTGCGGAACTTCCGTAGTTGCGAAAGCAGAAGCAGAAGTCTGTTGCATCACTAATTTATAGCCATGTAAAAGAATGATCGGCTAGTTTTTTCCTGTGCATAAGGTTAACGAATTTTTGCTGTACTGTAGCAATAAGCGTACTATTGTACGCCTCGTATTTATTAAAAGACCTTTTTAACGTTAGAGAATTTTTAGCATCCTTTAGTTTAGCATCTGCATTACAGTTATTCATGTACTATCATAATAGAGGTCCCTTTGAAAGAGATCGTAAAGGGAAGTACTGCCACCAACCTATTTCTATCAACAAACAGTAACGTGAGCATTACTGCGTTCTGGTTTTGAAGGGTAATAACACTAACATGACGACAATGATAACGTAAATGAACTGGAATTCAAGAAGTCAGTATATTGACAGGGACATAGAGATTCGCTTAGCGGAGGCTCTGAAGGTGGATAATGGCACAGGATGTCAGATACCAAAACTGGATCCATTTTCGCCTGAGATAATGATCTATGATAAGAATCTGCCCCATATCGTGTGCAAAAAACTGGCTTGGGTCAGATGTCACGTAAGTTTCAATGTAAATATATGGATTTGTAGTAATTATTGACACCTATTAGTATACAGTATTATTTCGTAGCAGTAGGGCTCCTTGTGAAAGATTTCGTCCAGAGAAATACTGCCTTACCTTACCTAATTCAGCCGCCAAGCAGTAATGTCAGCAGCGTCACTTGATATTATAAAAAAAATATAGGCTATCCTGCAGCTATGCGACACGCGAGGAAAGTACTTTAAATATTGTAGACAGTATATTACTTTTAAAAGTAAGTAATACTGCATACCTCATCTGTGAATCGAACCGGTCGGTTCGGTGTAAAAAATAAACACTCTGCATCTAGACTACACTATTTTCTAGTGCCAATCGAAAGGGTCAACTATAAGGATTAATTCCTTTTAAGTAATATTGTACATAAATTAAAGGACATCGCTCAATTGGATGATTTCTTAAAACACACAAGTTTGAAATTTGCAAATTAGTATGCGGCCAGAGTGCCCGTTCAAATAGAGCGTCTGGCGGCACGGCGCGTGAGGCGGTCGTGTCAAACAAATGCATACGCGACTTGGGCGAAAGCGACATAATGTAGAAGCGCGAGAATAACAGTATCTTCCCCTTAAGAGGGAGCATGCCAAAAAAGTTTTGACGTTGGCTCCGCCCAAATTTGTGAAACAAATACATGCCTGAAGTTCGCGTGACATGCGACAGGAGATGTTGAATTTTGCGCATTAAAAGTACGAAATTCGTTTTAGCGGAATAACTCTAAAACTAAAGGGCTTAGAAAAAATCCGTAGTGACTGTTCTCGATCATGTATAAATATAATTAAAAAAAAAAAAAAAAAAAAAAAATTAATTATCTAATTTTTGTCCTAATAACCTGTAGCATTGAATCGAAAAAATGTGAAAATTAGAGGTCATTTCGTGATTTTTATCTATCGAGGAAACTTTATTGTTTTATGTTTCTGATTAGTGTCTATGCTTGAATATATCGTGTAGGTACTCATACAATATTTTATTTTTAACTTTAAAGTGGATATACTCCTCTGAAATCAAATCAAAGATTAGGAATTTTTCCTCTGCTCCCTCTTAATGTCGCTCTGGCGCGAGTCGAAACTTGTCGAACTAGCCTACCTACAACTAGCAACCTACAGTTTTTGTCACTGACTCGACAAAAAAGGGCGTGTCTATTATTAGGGTTTCTCTCAGAAGTTTAAGGAGACATGACTGTGGCATCACAATACATTTATTTACTCAAATATTTCGTATGCCCGTACAAGTATACATAATTTCATTAAGAAAGAAGATATCCATAACATTAACCTTAGAACAAAGTCCAAACTCATGGTACCACCACAAACCAATATTTTATGGGGAACTGTATACGTTTTTACAAGAAGATTCTGGAGCATATATTAAGAGTATATTTTCTTAAGTTTAAAACTTAAATTAAAAAGTAATTTTACAAAACTGAAGACTACGTGTTAGAAAGACAATATGAGTCTAGATTCCATACAAATATGATTCAAAGTGTATTCCTTAGCAAAGTTTATTTGAAAAGATCAATCCCTATACTGCTCGTTCTTCTCAGGGAAGTTAGGATAGTGCACGAGCAGTAGCTTAAAAAACTTTACCAATGCAATAAATGATTATTTCATTTTCACTTTCATTTATTTCATCAAAAGAATGATCGAACTAACAAATACCTTTTTCAGCTATTCAAATGTAAAGTCACGCCAAAGATATTTAAAGAAGTAACGAACATAGAATGTTTTTACCACGACATCATCTATGTAGACGACCTCCACTTCATAGTTAATAGACAGTGGACTCAAGTTATCGGAAACGGTGTTTATTTCCTCAAAGAGTCAGATCATATTATGGCCGATTGTTTCGGAGTGTTTAAAAATGTGTAAGTGCATAATTTAGTGAGACGCACGCTGATCTCCCCAGTGGCTAAGCGAATTAAGATGTGATTCTCAATGATGTATTATGATAAGCTTGGATTAACATTTAAGAGTCTATATTACCTCAAATGGTGGTAAATTGATATCCGTAATCTTAGAATAATAACGATAGAATGATAGTTTCATATCAAACGAACTGTCACAAGTTAGGTAAAAATCAAATTCATGTAGGCTAGTTTTAGTAGTAGGTTAATTTTCGGGTTTAGTGAATATTTATATAAAAATACAAGTTGAAACGCGTTATTTCTTTGTGGAATGTGATGTTAGTATCTATTTTATGTTTGTCTGACGTATTTTTACACTCATTTACCGCACATTTCGTCATTTTTAGATAAAATTCTTTAGCTGTTCGCGGTGCAAGTTGACCTTGAGCACTGACGGCCCGCCCGCTCGTGTAGGCCCATTGGGAGTGCTTCAATTTGCCTCACTTAGCGTGTGCGGATTAGGTTTCTATGCGTTTTTATTCTAAGTCCGTAACGATGAAATTGTTGAATCAATAATTTTTTTTTATATCAACTGAGCTAAATAGAACAACACGTATACGATATAGAATTTTCGTAAGGCTATAATTTCGTTTGTAAGAAAATAAATTCTGAAATAACGCCAGTGTCTCTGCCGTTCAACCTAATTACCTGCCTATATTATGACCTAGTACCGGAAAACTTGGAATTCGTGATAAGGTAGTATGGTCTCTTAATAACTCCGTCGCCGGCTAGAATTTTCAAACATGTTCTAAAAGTTAGTTAATTAGTTAATGTTTTCGGTCTCTTTTGTACATGTATATAAGTTTGTCGCGATTTTTCATTATTTGGCTATATTTTGGAATGTTCTTTATTTCCGGACATTCAACCCGACGTGGCCTAAACGGAATAATTATTACCTTTAGGCCGTGCCAGTCATAATGCCGGGCGTTACGATCAATGTTGACCTAAAACTGACCTTTAATTTTAGTTTGACATTTGACATTAACATTTTTTTATGCTTGCATTGTAAGTTTTACATTCAATTTGGAATTAAAATCAATTTTTTTTATTCAAAATTAAATTTGATTAACTTCGATGTCCCAATTTTTTTCATCCGATACAATGAAGTCATCCTTATAAGGAATTGAGTTTGTAAGCATTAAAAAAAGTAGTAAATGCGCATGAAAAACATTTTATGAAATTTGACCAACTTCTGCTGTCTGGATTTTTTTTGTCCCATGCAATGAAATGATCTCTTCATAAAACTGAGTCGATCAGCCTTAAAAAAATATTGATCAATTTTATTCATAATAATAAATAATAAAAATAAATTCATACCCGTAGCGCCATCTATGAGAAATCTATGAAAAGATTTCGTCACCTAGTTAGATACCTTTACAGATTCCAGCCTCGGCTAGAAATGTCACTATTCACTGTATTTAAATTAATTCAATAAAAATTTAAATAGGAAATGAAACGTTTCGGGCCCTTTACAGGTCGCATGGTCACGGTTGATGGGACCTGTAAAGGACCCGAAACGTTGGTTTGTTTGAAAAAACAAATATTGAAATCCTGAAAAATAGTTTCATTTCCTATGTGTAACAATCGCGAAAACCTAAGAACTCGATAAAAATTTAAATTTTATTCATTTTTATGGACAACTCACGCTTGACTAAAAAAAATACTATGCCAGAAATGGTTTTCACAAAAAAGACTTAATGGTTCCTAAGACAGTTTCCTTGCGTCTTCTATGGTTTCGGATTTCCTCAAACTGTCCCATTAAAAAACACTCTATATAATAAAATAAATATATAATAGTTGCACATTAGGGAGTCACCACACTTAACGACATGGATCAAGCTGGTCAGAAAAATCTTCGACGTTCCGATTCCAGCGGAAACGACACGCGCATCGTCATCGGCTTAAATCGATTCCGTGTAAGTAAATATGGTAACTTATTTTTTGTATCTTTATAATTTCAGAAATATTTCATGGCGAGGTGTGGCAGCGGGATTCCGATCGGAGGTCGAAATTCCCCCGCCGGTGCCGTTGGAAAGAGACCACACCATCAACGTCTTAATTTTTGGCTTTGACTCTGCCTCCAGAAACGGCTTCATCAGAAAAATGCCTAATAGTTATAACTTTTTGAAGTTGGGCTTGAATGCTACTATTTTAACCGGGTGAGTAGCTCATAATAAGTGACAGTAACTTGGTTTGCGAGTGATATTAAGGCGGGTCATCGTTTGCTAGACCAAATTGTTAAGGTATTTACTATTATAGAACGGTCTTACAAAAATACACGATATAATAGGGGTTAAAGTATGAAATTGCCGATTTGTACTGAAAATCTA